ATATTTCTTTAGAAGATATAAATAGCTTGGTCACCCTAATGAGACATTATCCCTGCAACTCTCCTTTTTAGAGAGCTACTTGCACTCATCAATATTTGCCCTTTTTTAGGCCCTGTTTTTTAACTTCTTTTAAAAACGGTGTTACCTCTTGTTTCTCTAAGTCTGTCTTTCACACAGTGAGAGCAGGGCTTGGCTTCTCAGAGCAGTGCTTGGCAAGCACAGAGGCAGGAAACGCAGAAGGGAATGAGTCTGTCAGACTCATTTTCTTCTAGTTCAAATGTTTATTTCAGATTTGGGAGGAAGTGGAGTGGTTCCTTTCCATTTCCTCGTCTCTGGAACCTGTGAGTTGTAGAGGGCTTAGAGAATGATGCTGTACGGCACATCACACTCAGCAGCTCACAGATGGAGCAAGAGACTCGTCTCAGAACCCACCACCCCCATATAATACAGCAAAATCCATCACTATCCAAGCCCTCTCAGGACCCTCTTTTATAGGTCCAGCCCGGAGCCCTGCACAAGACAACTGAAAATAATCCCCTACCTGCTCCAAAGAGGAAGGGTTCTGTCCTCACTGACATTAGTCCCTAGCTCTGCCACATTACACACCTGAGGCTACTTGCTTAGCAAGGAAGACATAATTTGAGAATGCCTTGGGAGAATCTGGTCCCAAGCCCACTTTCCAAGTTCCTGAGACTTACGGCATTTGACACCAGGATGGCATTTCAGCAGCAAAACTCAAAATATTCCCATCTATTAATGAGCTAATTTCAATCTCGTACATACTGATTTTCCAATCCACACTCTGATTTTCCAGTGTCTTTTAAACACCAAGCTATTTATCTCACTGGGCTCTGCAACTTGTTTTATTGTGTATGCAACTGACATAGGTCATTTTTAATGCCAAATAGAGACCATCAGAAATCAAACTAGAAAATCCTGTGGTAAGTTTCTTACTAAACTCTAACAGATGTGCCTCCCTCAAACTGTAGGCATCAGGACTGAGCATAATTTTAGGTACAAATTACTTACTGAGAATATTTATAGGCAGAAACTCTCTTCAGCAAAGGTGAGAGACCCTGTGACATTTTACAGAGATTACCCTGTAGTTTAGCAATTGATAAAGAAGCCAAACATTGTAAGTACATTAATTATGGTTTATTTAGGAAAGTTTCCAGGACAGAGTGCTTTGTTGAAGAGTTTTAAAAAATAAAAATCTAACTCATTCTCTCTACTCATAGTTTAGATTTTTTGAGTTCCCTTATTGTTTAGTAGCTGTTGATCACAGTTCATTAAGATCTATGTGCACAAGATAAATGTCCTTAAGCACAGCAATATTTACACTTACACATATAATTATACTTACACATTCACTAGTACAAACTAGTTTTTATATCTGCCATGTTCTGGAACCTGAAACCAATTAACCCTTCCATATGTGAGAATTCCCTCCTGACATCCATTTAATATGACACATGTGAGCTAACAGTGTAACAGAGACATATTACATTAGACACAATCTCAATATTCACTTTAGAAACCAAAAGTAGGCAAAATATAAATTGCATTGCCATCTGACTTTTCAAATCTTCTCTACTGATCACTAATTAAATAAGCCTACTCACAGCAAAATAGCCAGTTATTTTTAAACCAAGGAAAGTCAGAATGAAAGGAAGAAGATAAAGAAACATCATAAAGGTCATAGTGAAACAAACATTTCTACTTGAAGATATTTTCACTGAAGTACATCATAAGCATGCTATGCCAAGTCATGTATTTTTCACACACAAGATTATATTGTATCAAATTTAAGTTTGTTACAACTGCCATGTACATTAAACCAGTGATAACGAAAATGTAACTCAATATCTGATCTAGTGAAACAGCAACCAACATTAGCTCCCAGCCACATGAAGACAATCTCCAATGCCATTACTGGTGTCAGCTAAATCTCAGCCAGTTTGTCTTCTCTGGCCATTTTTAAATAAATATGTGACTATCTCAATTAGGGAACCTTGAAGGAAGTCTCTGAGATGAGGCAATTTTGTTGCTCATTCTCAGTACCCTCTATTTGCTGTACTTAAAATAGACACTTGTACCAATGTCCTTTAGAAGGAGAAAAAAAATCACATACACACCAGTCCCTTTTCTTTCAGCTCACAGAGAAGCAACTTGATCCAACCAGTGTTGAAACCTGAGTAGGTCACTGTACACCACGATAAAATTCCCTAATCCCTGGGCCAAATCTCCCTAAGGGGGGCCTCCTCCTGATCCTCCACTTCCCGGGCTGACTTTTCCATTGCTCTCTCCTCTTTCCCCCTTTCATTTCCCCTACCTTCAAGCCTTGATATGTGATCTGAGGTGGGGGCTCAGGTTTCCGTTTTTACAGCTTAGGCCGAGCTAGCTGTATACATTCCTTTCTTTCTGCCGGGCAGTGATTACTTACCAGGGCTTAGTTTACACTGGTCCAGATGAAAGCCGTTCAGAAGGCAAACACAGCCAGGCAGCTCCAGCGGCACCGATATGAAGCTGCACAAGGCCACATTGTGTTCTCAGTGACATTTTGTTGCACACATTTTTATACAGGGCAACCAACTTGTTATGTTACTCTACACTTCACATTCCGGGGAGCTGGAGGGATAATAATGCCATGAGGTTTGGGGAGGGGTTTTGTTGCTGTGGTTATTCATATTAAAAGCAGAAAATATTAATGAAATCAAAATAACCCTTTGACTTTGAGAAACCACTTTTTAAATATGAATTCTTGGTGCTATTATATTACAGGAATGCCTACCAAACAATTCCACTAGACATGCTGGCTTGTTGTGCATGGACATGACTGAAAAATCTGGCCAGCGGTCTCTCACATTGTTCCAATCCAGAGAGAAAACACCAATCCCACAGGCAATCGAATTATTTGCTGTGCAAAACTTCTCATTTAATGCTTCTCTGAGCTGAATCGATGAAGATTAAAACTTCAAATAGTAGATGGTGCTTTGGAAGACAGAACATTTTAAAGAGGACATTCTGTACAGCAAGGTTAATTCCATACTTAGTCCGGCACATTGGCTAAAAATTGTGTAATTTTTCCCCTTCAGACAATGTTGTTTTTGTTTCTTCCTCACCAGTTCAGACAAACATCTGTTATACTGTAGAAGGACAACTATCTCCCAAACCACGGAGTGTGCCTGCAGCCAAAGTCAACAACACGAGCCCCAAGCATCGAGCACAGTCAGCCTTTATATCCAGCCGGGATAACATTTCACATGTTTTGATTAAAATTAGCTAATTTGTAATTCTAGAACCTATGAAACTTAAAAGCTGCCATCCATATAGATCACATTAGACAGCGTTTTAAAGGGCCAGGACAAGCTGGGATTTCCTAGGGGCCTTCACCTCTGTCTTCTTCCCCAGTCCCAATTGAAAACGAAATGGAAAAGTAATCTGGAAACGAAGGATAGGGAAGATGGGCAAGTGAGAAGAAAGACTGGTTATTGTAGATTAAATTCCACCCTCATAAAAAGAAAAGAACTTCTATTGGTCTGTTTCCCCCCCTTTCTTTTCCCTTTTAAACTGTCTACCACTGCAATCAGTGGTGGTCCATTACCAGGAATGGCACCATTTCCAAGTCAAATCTTCCTTATTTCTTCTTTGAATTGATACTGCATCTGCATGCTTGCAGGAACTAAGTTCCTCACCCCGAAATATAACCCTAATCCCAAAATTTAGAATATTACTGACATTTCCGGGAAGAAGAAAAACCTACGCATATGCACCTAACGCATACACACATAGGATGTATATGCGTGTAGCCGCTTCCAAGCATGGGCTTCACACAAGGCACTCTCATTGAATATATTTGTTCTAGTAAAAAAGACGTCAAAATGCAATAAATGCGACTTGGTTGTATATCATTTTACCCGGTTTGTCTTTTAAATATAAACTTAACTAAATCTGACAAAGTGTCCCAAAGGATTCTATTCACAGACTACAAAACGCAAACTTACTACTTTTTTGGTAACTCACACTAAGAAAAAGCCGGGAATAAAAATAAATTTTTAAAAAACCAAGAGAGAATCAACACAAAATCCCTAGCTCGGGGAGGAAAAAAAAAAAAAAAAAACTCCGCAGAAAATAAGGGAGCGGGGGGCGCAAAGGGGGCTCTGAAACTGAACTACGTTCTTATGCAACAGCTTCTACTCGAACAGCTGGAGCGCCCGGCGCTGCGCTCGCCACCTCTGGAGCACCGCTGGCTTGGCGGGGAGCCCGGCCACGCCGAGGTCTCGGGCTGGCCTTTCCGAACAATGGGCAGGCACCCTGCGAAGGCCGCCCCGCGGACAGCTATCCCTCGCCGGGGCTGGCCGGGGTCTGCCTCCCTGGGAGGTGAGCCACGCAGCGGCGCGCGGGCAGGCGGAGGCAGCGATGGAGAGGAGCGGGCGGGGGTGGGCGAGGCGAGCCGGCGGGTAGGACGGTGCCCCGCACCGCGCCGCTCCGGCCGCAGCTCGCCCGGCACTGACAGCCGCTAGGCGCTCACAGCTGGGGACTTGGGGCGAAGCGGGATCACCCCGCAGGAGGGATGAACTGCGGGGAGGGCGGCATCGAGCTCTCCGCAGATGCCTCTGGCGGGAGGCTCTTAACTTTGGAGTGGTCCGAAGGACGATTTCCGAAGAAGGGAGAAAAACTACCCGCCCATTCGAAAGCCTCCTCGCCAGGCCACCTGGGCCCTGGCGCCCTCCCCCGAAACGCATCTGTGCCAACCCAGGATGTGTAAGGTAAAATAGTACGTGGCTCCCCCACCCCCATCAAATCGGAGGTCGGCAAATTTCGGGGATGCAGCCCGCGAGTTGGCCTCTACTCCGCACCTGGAAGAGGCGCTGAGCTGCTCCGGGCATCCTAAGAAACTGACAAGCGCGCCCCTGTGCCCCCACAAATCCGCACAACGGCCCACGGGGAGCGGGCGCGAGGGCGAGCTCCGCGCCCCCAGCCCCAGGGTCCAGAAATACCTTCATTTCCTCATTGATCTCCCTTTTCACGGGGTGAGCCGGTTTCCTGCTCCGTTTATTTTCCGGAGGTCTCCCTTCTTTCTCCATTTCTGCCATGTTTTTGTGTCTGGTTTCTGTGGAGATGAAATGGCTGCTGCCGCCGCCGGCGGTGGCGGTGGCGGTGGAGGTGGTGCTGATGGTGGCGAAGCTGGCGGAGGTAGCGGTGCTGCGGGCCGGGGCTGGGCGGGCGGGGGAGGCGGGCGCGGGGAGCCGGGCTCTTCTAGCGGCGGAGAGCGTCAGTGGCGGGGAGAGGGATCGGTAGC